AGTGTAGTGGTAAACCTAGGCCAATGGGAAAAAACAGTGGGGCTGTATTTTTTCCGAGTGATACCTAGCCAAACGTTCATACCAGAAGGAAGCATGTTCCCCGTGTCAAACTATTAGAGATAGCTCATTATCGCTGGCTGAAGAAATGCAAAGCAGCAGCAGCAGTCACACTCTGCAGAATATGATTGATATCTGAGAGTAAATTATTGTCAGTATTTGGTAATAATTTTCAAACCTTAACTCTGATACCTGTTTCTTTGCATATTGACAAATGATAGGCAACGGTGCAGAATAACAAGTTACCATTGTAATTGACTGCGTATCTTTTATTGGGCTCAGATTATGCTTAATCTCATCACCGAGGTGCTTAAATTAAAGACAGCTTTGTATAATCATGTGCCTTTAGCAGTGGAAAAGGCCTGGCAGGTACAGAGAGCAATTGAGATCTGAGATGCCTGAATCTCCATCCGTAAGCCGGGAAAGGTAAATCTGGAGCAGCTTCTCCCAGCCATGACTCAAAATGCTTTAGTTTAAAACATTTAGATCCAACCCCTTCTGCTTTGGGATTTCCTATGTCCAGGGAATTCAGGGATTTAATGGAATCTGTTAATAGATAGAAGCCTGAAGGTCAAAAGTGCCAGAGAATTTCATCAAATCATGTATACCCTGCATACGTGTTCACCTTCAAGAATGAGAGAGGGCGTCAGGCCCCAAGGACGTGCCCAGTACGTGCTGGAGGGGTAAAGCAGAAGCTGTCAGGACAACGGCAGCTGAAGCCGTAGCTCTTTTGAAGGATGGTGCTGGTGTGTGATGCTCTGACACAGCAGTGTCCTGTTTCGGAGTGGTCCTAACATCTTCTTGCCCCTTGTGCTCTGTCAGTCTTTGTGTTTTTCTGCCATGGATGAAGCATGGATGAGAACGGCCAGTTGATGTGGTCCAAAACGTGCTTCCCAGAGAAAGGATCTAGCCTGTTTACATGCTTTCATCCTTTTCATACCAAAAAAAACCCAGAAGAAAATACTTTGGAATCCAGTTCTTGTGCTCTTTGAGAATTTTATCTGCATAAAGTCAGCTCTCTAAACCAAGCAAGACTTTGTCATCCCACCTACACAGCTGTTTCACTGATCCTCCAAGTTCACCACACACGAAGTCTTGGGTTTTAATGCTTCTCCACGGAATCCTACCGCATTTGCTGTAAACAGTTTCTTTCATGTGTATCCTCAGATGAATAAATGCGGGACACAAGCTCCGGTGTGGCTGTCGCTGAAGTCCGAATCCCTGCCAGTTCCTGGTGAAAGCAAGCGGCTTACAGCCTGTGCTACCTGGCAGGTCTTCTTCGGGGGCACCGAGGACTGCTGCTTGTTTCGGATACCCATTGTCGTCAGGAACTGCGGCGAGTTCTTTGTGTATCTCCTGCAGCCTACTCAAGGATGCATGGGCTACTGCGCGGAAGGTGAGGATCAGTGAAGTATTTATCAATAAAATTGCATGTGCCTCTCTGGTTGTGTGTTCAAAGGTCCTGGTATTGCAACGCACATCTCGGTGACCTTGCGAGTCAAGCATCACTCCCAGTAAGACGCAGACCGTGTAGAAAATAAATCAGCGGCGGTCCAAGGTGTTCCTGAGGAATAGCTATTATTACCAGTGCGAAATGTAATCTGATGTGTATTACTGAAGCGTTCTTTGCTTGGTTACAGTTCACATGTAACCTTTCCTACTGTCTTTGGCTCCACTTTGGCTTGAAGTTGCAAAGCTAGTGAGTGGAGGCATCTCGGATTTATTGAGGATATTTTATCTAAGGTCTGTTCTTACCTACAATAATCCAGTATCCACACCCTCCCCCCCCGCCCAAGAAAAAAAGATAATTCTTAAACTCTGGAAGGAAAAAAAAAACCTGATAACATCTTTTTCATGACATTTATATAATTATTCTCGTCAGAAATAATTTTCAGCCCACTGCAAGAGATCTAACCTCTGTTCCGTAGCTAGGAAACAAAGGAATAGCAGAAAGCAATTGCTCACTCAGTTAAACCTTCTGAACTTTGGAGCATGTTCAGGTGCATATAGATTTAGTCAGAAAAGACAGCTCTTTCTCAAAAGGAAAAAATTACCTTTATACTTCCCTTTCAGCATTTTTGGACAGAGACATGACACACTGAGAAACTAGGGTTATCACCTTTCAATCAGGCAGAACTCAAGCTTAAATAAATTTGAGAGAGAGAGATCTATCTTCTTATCAATATTTTAACATTGTCACATGAAGAAGAGCGAGGAAAAAGGGCTCAAAGGAAATGAGATTAATTCACTATTTGAAATAAAAAATATCCATTAAAATAAATGAAACTGCCTTTAATTGCCACGATTCTTTCTCAGAAATTACTTTTTAACTGAATACAGTCATTTTCCAGTTTAAGCTCAGCTTTTTGAACTAAGATTGTCACTACCTCTGTTTGAAGAATTTTTTTACCTATGTCTTTGGGTGATTAGTTTTGTCCTTTCTGTTAATCCACATCTGTTTAGTAATGTAAATCTGCCTGCATTTTTCATAAATTAACATTTATCCCTTCCAATCTATTCCAAACCAATGACCTTCTGCCTTTTTCTTACCACTGCTGTTGAAGCTTTCGCCTTTTTCCTAGGCATTTCAGTGAGGTCCAGCTCTCTCGAGTCTTTAACCTCTTGTCTTTAGAATGTTTTTTCAGTATCATGTGTTGGATGGAAAACACCCAAAGCTGATTTTTTTCTTTTTATTGGGAGTTGTTAACTCACTGTCTTAAATTCAGCTGTGATCGTTGTACCACAGGAGCCTTTACGCAGCCCCGGAGCCAGGTCCAGCTGGCACCGTCACGGCTTCTTGCCGAGGTCAATCCCCCAGCCCCATCCACTCAAGGCTTGGGAGTGGGACACCGGTCAGCACTTCTTAGCTACAAAACAAAACGAATTTAAAGCTTCATAGCTTGGCAGAAAGGACACGGCTGGGAAAAGTGACATACGTGCTTGCAATTCTGCTCACATCCTCCCACAAGCTGATCACCTAACTTTGTCCTTCTGGAATAATTTCCTGCAGAAAGTCACAACATGAGCCACGGTTTGAGGTAGCTTCCCTTAGGAAAAAAAAAAAAAGAGAGAGAGAGAAAAGGATATAAACAACTAGCCCTTATTCATATTTTAAGTAACTTGTTTCTTTTTCTTACCTCTTGTTACTTGCCCTGAACAGATGTTAACATATTGGTTCTTCAGTCTGCTCTAACAGCCTCATATCTTATTCTCTTGGGATTCCATAATATTTTCTACACTTCTCCAAAAAGGTTTCTTAATTTATCCTTTCAAAGCATCTGAAAGAGCTGCATGTTCCGTCTGAGTCCAGGTCTCTAGAGATGAAAGAACATCACCCTATGGTATTATACATCTTTTTGTTCTACTATCTAGGCGAGCTTAACAGGAAGAAAAGTTTAAGGCTTCATTACTTGATGAAGCTTACAGAAAGCAGGCTGTATTTTTAGAGCATCGGCATTATTCTGGGCAGAGTGAGACTATATTGAGAAGACTCAGCTTAGGTATGACCCAGAACAGCCTAGAAAGGATCTTCAGAGCATGGCAATACGGGCTGGGGGCTATCTGAGAGTTGGTTTAACTCTGCAACGTAATTATTTCTCATATCTCTTCTGTACTTATTGCAAAACTTGGATCAAAAGGTTGTGCTTCAGGGAATGCAAAGCTGATGGCCTTTGCCAGAGTAATTAATTTGTATTAATCCGAGTGCCTCATTTCAATAACATTTCTCTTACTGCAAAATAATAATAAAACAATCACTTAAAACCCAGGCCAAATATTATAACAACAATAGGTAGTCAGTACACAATCAGCGATTTTTTAACTTCATATGAAATACATTTTTTTACTTCTGTAGTTAATAATCAAATCACAAGAAGATAAAACGTAGCCTTTCTCCCTTGTTTAATTATATTGAAATCTTCTTTCAGAGTGAATAATTCTAATGTTAAAATAAAGTTTTATGCCACGACCTTCTTTTACTTTCTTCTTCCAGACACACTCACAAGCTTGGCTTTGCAACCAGTGATAACTCCCGAGCTCGTGCAAGGTCGTGTCCACCTGAAGTGCACTTACAGCCGTCCCTCCTCGAAGCCACCACTGCAGTACATGGTGACCTGGTCACGCCTCTCCTCCCCTGGCAAGAAAGAGCAGATCCAGCGTGACACCACCCCGCAGTCGTTTTCCTACGTAGAGATGAACGGCGTAACTCTCCGACTGGGAGACACGGTAATGCCACCTCGCCTCCAGCAAAAAAGGTCAAACGCTCAGGGGGAGTCAAATCCTTTTCTAAAACCTTCATGGCTTTTTTATTAGTGCTGCTCATTCCTCATTATACTTACAATTTCTGCAGGAAAAAAAATAGAGAAACTGCTTCGCAACAAGATTATTAAATAGCATTTACCAGATTCAGGATCTGTAACATTTCTTTGAATTGCAGTGAGTTCACAGAAACTATACATTTTACTATTTTCTAAAGACAACCTGAATTTTTGCACTCACATTACAGCTTGAATGCCATGAAGTTGGGATGAGTAGTAGGTACATGTGCCTGAGCCAATTTTTGCTTAGCATTTTTTTCGTGTCTTGCAGCAGCGAGAATTTGCAGTAGAGGCAGTCTCAGCTATACGCACTCAGTAATTTTTGTACTCATGGACCAGGGACACAATAACATCTTTTCACAGAAAAGACAGACAGTACATTTTAAAATAGAGGGAGGTTTATTTTATGGTCTTTTTCATGGTGTTCTGCCTCTCTGATTCCAAATTCTTTGTTCAATAGCATACTGAAAGATAGAGTTCATTACAAAACAATCTTTAAGAAGTATATTTGATGGCTTACATAGCAACACAGATCTAGTTTCAACAACAACAACAAAACAGAAACCAATATGAGATGTGAAAAAAATTGACTTGTGTATGAATTCATGGCCTTTCATGGTACAGAAACAAGACTTTTAAAGTTAAATTAGATTCATAACTTCTATAGGCAGAGCACCATTAGTGATGCTACAACAAACTGAAAGAATAAGCAGGGATAATGGCCTTGTGTTAGAAGTAGATTGGAAATAGCCTTGGCATTTCACAGCTCTTCTTTGTGATATTTAAGATATTTAAGAAATGTGAATAAGCTTTTTTCAGTTCTTGAAAGGATGAGTCACTTATAACAGTAACACAATCTAGATAGATTTTTTTCTTATTTCTCCTTGTAATTAAGCCTCCTGAGTTCAGAATCTGACTGATGCTGCCTTAACTTATATTATAACATGAGGCAGACAATTCTGTCAGTTTAAGACAAGTTTGTGTTACAAAGAGATATTTTCATCAAAATAATTTCACTTGCAATCACTTCAAATCTAGTTTTAACAATCCTGAGGGATTCAGAGAAAATATAGTTCTGTTAACTAATAGCATCACCAAATCTTTATAAGACCATTTTTATTATATTAAGTTTTCAGTAAGCCCTTCTTTGTCCTCTGCTGAAGCCCGCATATTTAATTTAGTGGGTTCAGTGAGACTAAAATGTTCTTTTCCTTGCTGCATTTTTTTTTAAAATGTCTTCATGGCCTATTTGGCTAATTATAATTATCCATCAATCATCAGTGGTGAAAACCAAGCAATGAAGCTTCAGTTGTAACCGTGAATTCAGTTTTACATAATAAAGGTTTTAAAGAAGCATTTTGCCATGTTTGCTGCCCCACTCCGGGTGTCGGATAAGAGTCAGAAAGGGGCAGACTCTCCTTCCACCTCCAGTGGTGCAAACCTGAAGCAACTCAGCAAGGGCTGGTAGGGCTACTGCAAAGGAAAGGCGATGCCACTAAAGGAAGAGTCAGACCCTGGGGACCAAACTCCATCGCACAGAGGCAGTTCGGAACCTTCTACCTGCCCAGGAAACATACAGGTGGAAAGCTTTTCCTCGGGCAGCTTCAAAGGGAGGCCAGATCTCCCCTGATAAAAGCCACATTAGAGAAGAGACAATGAATTTGGGGCACTTTCCAGTTCTCTTTGCCCTTCTATATGCACAGCCCTGGTGGTACTATCCCCCTGGCCATGCGCTGCCAGGGTACCTGGGTGGCATTCAGAGCAGAATTTGTCCCCCAGGATGCAGAATTTGCAGCGTTTTAAAAACTGTTTGCTTTTTTTAACCTACTCTTCTTCTACCTGCACATAGCCTGAATTTGTTCTCAATGCTTTTACAGCCTGAAATCAACGTCTTCTCTGTTAATTTCTTGATAAAAAAATTACAGTCAAGCGAGAAGATTTTTTTTAATCACTTTTTATATGATTGGTATCTATGCTATTTTTTATCTGTCAAAAAGTCTCCACATAGTAGGTTAGTCACATAATAGAATATCTATTGATATATTTTAATATGCAGTCAAACCTTAGAGAAGAGTTGAGATTCACCGGCCAACATTTCTGAACTTGTATTGACTAAACAGCCAGTTATTTTTTAATAGCCATCATGTGTGCTTTTCTCCTCTGTCTTTGGGCTCCAGTTTTGTTATTTCAGACAGTAATGTTGGCAGCATAATGTTCACGAAAGTATTGCAGCCTTAAATAAATCTATAACATGCCTCTATTTCTATACGAACACTGAAGGAAGCCTACTCCATCTGATATGAAAATCCTGGCATTCCTAAGCCTTATTCATGCGATAGTGACAGAGGTCATTTCGTTCCTCGAGGCACAGCCATCTATAAATTATAGCGGCACACTGTGAGTAATGAGTTAGGCTGAGAAAGAAAGGTGTTGAGAAGAAAACCGTGTAGATTTTGCTCAGCACAGCAACCCAAAAGTTCATACGGCAGGGAGCAATTATCACCACATAGAAACTACGATGCACATTGTAAAATTAAAATGTTGAAGTAAAACCAGCCTTTTCGAGCTCTGTGCTAGAAGTGGCCGTTTCACGTGGCACTCTGCAACAGCAGAAGAATGTGCCCCAGACAAAAAGACTGTAAATAAGTGCCTCAGTATAGAAAATAAGTAATTTTCACTTGCAAAGGAAGAGGAATGATATTTTCCTCTGCTTAAATACTAACCCTATCCCAGCCACCAGACTTGACAAAATCGACAGCAGAAGTAGGCAGACCAGCCTGTTTGTAGGTCACACCTGAGTTTACAATTTCTTTCTCAACCTTCGGGTGGAAAATGAGGAGCATCCCTGCAGAAACAGAGCTCTGGGTGGACTTGGACAGAGATTTTAAAGCAGAAAGGGTCAGAGAGATGATGAGCAAAACTCTGAAGCTGATAAGACACCTCACCACTACCCTGGGAAAACGTCTTCCCTTAGTAGATGAATAACCTACAGTCAGCCTCCACATGCTGTTTGGCCATTTGGCAACTGGAATGAGCTGCCGTCTTTATATATAGCGAGTAGCAGAGTGGCTGGAGCTGGACTTCCCGCAGTGTCAGGTCACGCTGCTGCACCGGCTCCCTCCCCTATGCAGCCAACAGCCCATCAAAGGGAGCGATCGAAAGCTTTAAGGTCTAGTTCATTAATTAACTCAAAGTCAGATTCTCCCTGCTTTCCCCTTCCTGCCAACCCTTCCGGAAAGCCTTTCCGGAGACTTTGTTCCTACCCCTTTCTGTAAATACTCACAGCCAGATCATTTCTTCGAGCTAATGAGAACTTGTTTTTTTTTTTTTTTCCCCTCCGGCTTCCCTAGAAATGCCATCCTTCAGCTCTGCTCGTCCTTTGCTCTTTTCATCAAGGCTGCAAACCACAGCCCCCTCCCACACGCACACACTCCCCACCTCCCAGCCGAGTGACTCCTCAAGGCTTTTCCAACCCCGGCCCATTAGCCTTTAATAGAGCCAACAACGGCAGCTGGGAGCCTCGATAGCCATCACCAGACACCCTTTCCCCTGGCATGATCAATTCCCTGCCCAACTCCTCACCTGCAGCCAAGAGTGACTCTTACCTTTGCAGCCTCAGCCTGCCTTTTGACATGGCTGATGTAGCTGAGAAGGAAGATCCAATCCTGGAGTTAACAGGTTTAATCACCCACAGGCTAGGCACCTGTGCCTTCTGAGCAGCATGCAGACTTTCCTGCCCAGGGAATAGGAAGAAGTGGGTATTCCTAAACAGTACCTTTTGTCAAGAAGGGAGCTTCACACAGGTGGCCAACATAAATTACTGCCCGGATCAGCATCCATGAATTCCCACATCTCTCACAACGTTGGATGTCTGGGTCAGGAAAGTATCTCCATCTACTTTTCAATCCAGGTGTTCAAGTCCTACTCAGATGCACCTGGCTGTATGTAGTCTTTGAAAGATCACTACCAGTAAAAGTAAATATTTCAACTTTAAACCGTCGCTGTTGTCACTGTGGGGCCTCTGGCACTACAACACCGCCCAAGTGCTTGCTGGAGAGGTGGGAAATGGGTAGCTGGTCCTCCCAGCTGTGAGTTAGGTGCATATCCTGCCCTTCTTGAGGGAACATCCCACCTCCAGGTCATTAGGCTGCTCTCGGAGAGGAAGCAGGGACCACAACCAGGGACCGGCACATGCATTTGCTTATTTTTTCTGGTGACTGTTTGGGTAAAACATGTGAGCAGTCCTGATGGATAGACCCAAACCCAGTACTCCTCTCTGCCAACTCTCCCTATTTTGAGGACAAGTGCTGTTGCCCCTGGGACGCTGCTGAGATGGGTGATGGGTGGTGGCACCATTTCTGCCAGCACTTTGAGAAGCACGCAGCTAAGGTTGGCCTTTCTAAGAGCTCCTGAAACTAGCTGGCAAACCTAGGAGCCTTCACAGGTACCTGACTGAAGAGCAGGGATGGGTTTTGATCACAAAACAAGTATCTTCTGTTTTGCCTTTGTGAACCCAACCCCTTATCTGAGCACAGCTGGGAGAGGCCGATGAAGCTGAAGGCATGGCCATGCTGGATGAGCCAGCAAGCATCCCCCTCCACTCCCCTGCCTCTCTGCACTGCCTTTGAAGATGGCAACAAACGTGAATGTGGCTTTCTTTGAGCTTTTCTGTCTCTGCCCTTGGCCCCATGTCTCTCACTACATGCTCAAGCTGCTGCAGATGATCCCTGCACTACATTCCAAAGTAATTAGGGGCACGGAAAAAGGTGAAACTGGAGGCGGTTTTATGCTCAAAATGAGTATAAATAATTGATTTGGGAGAGTTTGGGATTCTGAGAGCTCTGATAAAACCCACACATTTTGATTTGCAAGTTGTTATAGGGAAATTTGCCGGAGATGGTGACAGGTCCTATGATTGAAATACTTTTCCAAGTTGTTTCCCAGAGCTACCTGACTCCCACCAAATTAATGACAGAATTCTACTTTTAGCTAAATACGCTACTCACAGGGTTCTTGGCAAAGTGGGAAGGAATCTGCTTGATTCTATGTAAGAGTGTTGTCTGCTCCAACACACAGGAAAGGAGAAACTTCTTAGCTACCAGGGCCTTTTTTCATCAGAATTTTGTGTCTAAAAGTAGTTTTACGCCCTATGGGAAGATCTACCAGCACATGGGGAAAGGGAGCGGTCCATGCCCAGAAGCAATCAAGTCATTCTGTCTGAGGGCATCCTTACATTTCTGTCCCTTTAAAAGGGATGATGAAAAATTACAATTTGATTTTTTTAACAGATTCAATGAGTTTGAGCAAAAATACTGCCTAACCTGTCATGGCCATCAGCATACTGCTGTCAGTGATGCTTTTATCTCTGCTTTAAAAAGGCTACATCCTGAGATGAGGACACAGAGAAGAAAAGAAAGAAAAAGTTGATTAGTGAACTGAAGAAAAAGAGCTAGTATTTAGCTGAAGGCAAAAAAAAAACTTCCTCAGAGTGACTATCACAATAATTATGTGACAAACTGTCAACCTGTAGCTCAGTAGCCGATGAACATATCTGCTGATTGTGAAGTGAAGTGTGCACCTAACGAGGTAAAGGCAATACAAGAGGAGGAATGATATAAAAGACAAAAATAAAACATAACTCATGATGGCTGTCCATACATTTCGAATTAGCAAAGTTTGTGCTAATCTTCAAAAGTGCTGAAGATAGAACTGTAATGGACTGATAGTCTAAGAATATCTCAGTGTATCATTACAGAGTAATTTTATATTTTAGTGTTCAGTGCTTTATCAATAAAATATACATCTAAAATATATATGTGAGAAAATACAATACTTGCAGGGAATGAGGCTGGGTTCTGACATTTCCTAGGATGTCACTTAGGGGAAGATCACAGGGAGATGCCTCCGTCGGAGCTGGGCATCCTCATGTGTGACCCTGCTGCCTCTCATTACAGCTAAAACAGGAATGCTCCGCACGGCATGCTCAGAGGGGTGTCTCCCTGTGAATACTTCTGGTAAAAAGCATCAAAGGCAAAGGTGCAAACAGCCCAGCAAGTGTAAATATAGTATCAGCAATGCAGGTGCACTGGATTTACTCAATGAGCTCTGCAAGGGGATTGTTGGTTTGGTTTTTTTCCAAGAAGGGGAACATACGTTGTCTGAACTCTTCCTCTGTTGTCACCACCTTGTCAGAGATGTCAGATGTTTATAAATATGTAAAGGGTGACTGTCATGAGGATGGAGCCAGGCTCTTCTCAGTGGCATCCAATGATAGGACAAGGGGAAATGGATATAAGCTGGAACATAGGAGGTTCCGCTTAAACATGAGGAAGAACTTCTTCCCAGTAAGGGTAACAGAACACTGGAACAGGCTGCCCAGAGAGGTTGTGGAGTCTCCTTCTCTGGAGATGTTCCAAACCCGCCTGGACGCGTTCTTGTGTGATCTGATCTAGGTGGTCCTGCTCCGGCAGGGGGATTGGACTAGATGATCCTTTGAGGTCCCTTCCAATCCCTGACATTCTGTGATTCTGCGATTCTGTGATCTCGATTTTGCAGAATCTCCCTGTGGCAGCTGTAGGAGAAGCAGCAGGAGGAAGATCAACGATTGCCTTCTGCCTTCCCAGCAGAAGAACCTTTTTGAAAACTTTGTAAGGTGAATACAAGCCTTTAGGGAAAGCTTGGAGATAATAAATATCTAATGATAACAGGGGCTTATTACCTTGAGGAGACAACAACTTGTTCTCCTTTGGAGGTAAATGGCTAACTATGAAACACCTGAGGAATTTTAACTGTAAAGTACCTCTGTGAGGCCTTTGCCTTTTTTTCCCTCAGTACAACCAGTATGACCTCAAGGCTTCCATCTAGTTAGTGGAACAAATAACACCAGTTTCACTCGGCCAAAGTGGCTGGAGCTGTCAGCAAAAGAGTGAGAAACTTTATGAAGGTAAAAACGGCCCAAAAGGCATGTAATCCTGGGACTGAGCTGGACTGGAAATGATCCACCTGAAGAGCACAGAAAACACTTGATTTTTCCCGTAGCCATACAAATGACTCTGTATTGCTGGTGGGGAATTTAGTTGTGCATAAATGTCTTAGGAAAGAGGATTCTTCAGTTTGGAGGAAACTCATGACTTGATAGTAATGAAGAGGGATTTTTAGGATGGTAAAAGAAATATTCCAGAGAGCTATGCAACTCATGCCCGTTCGACCACATGAATCTGGGAATATCTTGGTTTTGAGCCTGTTTCGTTGCTACTGGTCATGAGGGTCGTGCCTGAGCCAGCAGGTGAGAGCTACCAAGATTAGCACGGCCAGTGAGTGATGCTGGAAAATCCATCCAAAGGAGTTTATCACAACGGAAAAGAAATTAGATCGATTCAATTCCTCCTCATGGGTTACTTGAGGCTTAAAAAAGGTACTAGCTATAAATATGCCATCTGACTATTTGGAATTGATTTAGTATGTCACAATCTGTTACTCCATTTCCGAGACGAGGCACAAAAAAAAATATTCAGAAGTATAGTTTCAGAGTCTATTGTTGTTTGCTTTAAGGAAAATTTCTATGGTTTAATCTTATGATCCTAGAAATTATATTATCAGTTTGGGTTTTCTGAAACCAATGTAACATTAAGATGGCAGATGGTGTGCAGGCTTAGCAGAGATAAAGGTTGCATGACTGTGCTAGGAATGAAACATAAATGGCCTAGTACATTTTGATTTTGTTTGGAGGGTTTTTTTTTTGTTTAGAGAAATTATTTATTTATTTATTTTACAATATAAGCCCTGTAGGCGTATCTACATCATCTTTTATTATGCAATAAGAAAAAAAAAAAGGATCTTCTTATATTGTTGACAAAATTTCTGAGACCAGATGACTGTCAAGCTAATTTAAATTAAAAAAAAATGCTTACAAACACGGTACAGAGAGAGGATATTTGATCTAGTGGACAGACTGAAGTCTGAGATCCCAAGGGCCAGTGCCCTAATCCTGACAGTAATGTCTATGAACAATGTAATTCTCCCTAATTAAAATGAGTTGATATCACTAACCAAGGTGCTTGAAAAGCTGCAGAAGAAAACACACTGTAAGTGTTCAGTGTTATTAATTGTTGAGACAGAAGCCATGTTTCTTTGCTTATTATATGCATCAAAAATTCTTCCAAATCTCAGTATTTATGCATAAACGTTTTTAAAGCCTAAGCCCCAAAAACCTGTTTCAACAGTAGAAAAAAAAAAAAAGTTCAACAACCCAGATCAATAGGAAGATGCATAATTATATGTTTTTTCTTCAAGAAAAGTTATAGCATTCACTGTTTATTTATCACAGGTGTTTTGCACTGTCACTGCGTTTACGAGGGACGCTCCTGAGCAGCAGTCGTTGCCTGAAGAGAGCAAAGGTTTCTATGCTGGGATTAAGGTAATGCCGACGGCCTTGATTTACTGACTGTTCTAGCGGATCTCCAGGGAATATTTATACATTATCTGACATGTTCTGAGAAGCGAGGCACAGGAACATAAGCCTTGATCATCATAACCAGTGCTGCTTTTATGTTGACTTTGAGAAAGCGTCTTAACAAATTATACGGCTTTCAGTCTGTTTGTAAAATGCCCTAAAACACCCATCAGCACCGTGTGCGGGTGTTGGCACTAATGCACCACAAAGCATGGGAGAAACTGCATCTTCTGGTAAATGCACCCCAAAGTACTCTGCTGGTTATGTATAATGGGAAGACAGACCTACAAGGATGAGGAACTTCATTGTACCTAAATCAGAAGAAAATTAAGAGAGAAAACCTAATTTTTATCCGTCATCTTCTTACTGTCAGGCACTACAAAAACCAATTGCTGAATATAAACTCGCACTGAGTGCAAAAAAAAACAGGTCTAATCCCACTCAAGGATTAGACTCAGTTTGGCGATGCAGGAGAATTTGAGATCTTCTGAGTATCCAAGCTTCATGCCTCCATGAATGGTGTTTGAAAAATCTGGCAACCCATTCTGTGTAACATTTGAAGAACTGATTGGTTTTTCATTTCCACTGGTTTTGGAAATGTCACAATTTCTTGGGGAATGGAAATTCCCATTTCTGACTAGCCTCAAGTGCTGTTTCTGCACTTGTCCCAGGAGAACAGACAGACAGAAACGGCACAGCCTGAGCTCTCTCCCTGGCACATGAGCCATCGAAGCCATAATATATTGAGTACGGAGAAATTCTTCTTCCTGCCATATCAGGGAAGAGGAATTGGGCAAAAATTGCACTCACTTTGCACCTGGGCCAAATATAGAGTCCCTGACCATGAGGTAATGCCATGCTTTAGGCCGTGAATGTTGCCGGTATTTCTCCTAGTGTATTGGAATAGGAGCTGCTTTTAACCAGGGATATTAAAAATGAATAAATTCTATGGTATCATGCTATTTTCAGGCTTAATAAAAACCCTGTTTCGAGATTAAGAGATGAGAAGCGATTAGACACCATATATGAAAACTGCAAACATTTTCTTAATTGCCAAGAATTTTAAAATATTTTAACAACAATTGCACCTTATGAAGTTGAATATAATTATTACGAAGATTAGTACTGTTATGGAGATTATTGCAAAGATTTTTATTCTTTTACAAGCAATTATATTTTTTCATAATTGATTAAAACCACTCAACATTTCATAAATTTCAGTATTGCCTAATTAATCTGATCTAAAAGTGATTTTCTCATTTCCAGTTTTTACCAGAATCATTACAAATTGCAGAGGATGGCAGAGAGCATGTTTTGACCGTTCTGAGTACTGTACCCATTGCCTGTCCTGGTCACGATGATTCCTGTAAAATTACTTTACAGCTAAGTGCTGAGGATTTGGGTAAGAGTTTCATATATTGGCATCGAATCAATGAGATTACTTTTTCCTATATTTATATTATTATGAATTCCAATAGAATTTATAAGATTTAAATAACAACAAGGGGTAGAAGCCATAAAATCAACAGACTAAGCCATATATTTGTTTGCAAAATAAAATAGATGACGTTATCACTCAGGTTTTTCGAGAAAAAAGAAAAAAATTGAGTAGCAAGAACAGTAGTCCATTTTCATTTATGGATGAAATAATTGTGAGAAGAACTTATTTTAAATTCCAGGAGTACAAAATTCCATTTTAAGCTTTTGAAGAAGCAATGGTCTTGGCTAGAATAATTTCATTAATTATCAATAAGAAGCTCATCTGCAAATTTATCATTCAGTAAATGTGTACCGAAGCCTTTTTTGTTTCTTTTGCTGGCTTACAATTTTTGTCTAACAATATATAAGAAAAAATATGCTTATATATTGTTCTCTTTCTAAAGGTATTTTTTACTTGAAAACATCGACAGTGTCACTTAGAAAATTCTTTCCCTTTTAATCAGTGAATGCTTTCCTCAGGTTAATCTAGTGGAATATGATGCTTAAGCAAAGGGGACATATATATATATATACACATATATTTACTTTCCATTTGCACTAAATAAAACACCCAATCCTTTTTCTAACAAGGCATTTATTTCTCTTCTATAGGTGACTCAATGTGAAAAATGTTTAGAAATAGGATAACAGCCATAGCTTCTCTACATAGAAAAAGCAGCTAAAAAAAAAAATGTTAGCACAACCTAAACAGTTCCTGATATTTTCCCTTTCTGAATTCCTCTCCTTTCTCTCCCCATTATCAGCCAAGCACTTAGACAGAAGACAAAAATAATTCAAACAGTATCATAACACAATGATCTTAAACTGAAAGGCACCTTATGGTTCCAGCAGCTGTGTTGGCTTTCGTACGCGGAGTACTTTGTGTTTCTCCACGGCTCTGTGCTGCTCTGTTCTACATATTGCTCTTGGCTTAGAGTCTCTGCTGGTCCATCAGGCAAATATCTGCTGAGCTCACGGGAACAGATCTTCTTAGATATTGAGGAAGCTAAGAACACAGGCTGTTGTGTGGTGGGATGTCCTCACAGCCTCCAAGCAACTTGGACACTTATCATTTATGAGGAATAAATAAGAATTAGTTACATAAGCTATCAAAGTAGTTTTTTAAACTCTCATTTTCTTAGGCCTCGATAAAGCCTTTCAGTATCTCAGTGAGAAGGAGTGCATGGTACAGGAGCTCTCACGTAGGGGAGGCTGAGTTTGATAGATTGGACTGAGGCTGACCCCTTGCCAGGGTCTTCTCCAGTCCCGCGATGTGAATTTGACTGGAAGAAAGAGGGAAGGCAAGATTTGCAGAAGCAGCTTTATTTTCAAGCTATCAATGGGCTTGATGTGTTGGTGCCAAGAGGTCCTGGGATGGAGGCACACCTCAATCAACTATCTAATCTTTGAAGGAGCTTGCCACTGAAGTGGAAAATTTCCGTTAGTTTCGATCAACTCATCTCTGCAGCTTAAACTAATAACCAGCTCGAGCCCTTGATTGCTCCATCCTGAAGCTATGTCCCTGGATGACACTTAGGCCGTTTATGATCCATTGAGATAGCTGTGTATACTTCAGGTTGACTATCTGCTGCCGTGTGTTTGCATAATCGCACGTCTGGTTTGCACCTTTATTGGCTGTAGGGTCTGTTAGTCTACCTGAAGGAACTCTGTGGGCTTCTGAAAAACATCATGTTAGCCACAGTACTATAAATTGAAAATAAAAACAGCTTCAGCTGAGATTCGTTTATACCGAATAAATTGACAAGCTCCTTGTCTGACCGAATCCATATAACAACACTGTTGTGCTAATTATGTGGGGAGTAAGTGATAAGAAAGCTAATTACAAGCACAGAAATATCTCTCTAAGTTCAGACAGTATCATAATGAATGCCAAGGCACAGCAGAGCCACTGGAGTTTGGCTTCTGTTAAGTTTATCATTACTATTTTGACAAGATGATTTTCTTTGATTTTAAACTTTTGTTCTGGGTTGTGAGCACAGCTTATGGGGCTGTAATGGCAATAACTATTCCTCATGGAAACCTCCAACGTAATTGAATCAAGAACCTTGAAAATGAGCCAGGACTTCTCTACAAGATGTGAAGAAGCCTTTAAGGATTTGATGTGAGAGATAATATGTTATTAATAGTAGGCTTTTAGTTCGATTCCTGTAGAACTCTACAGGGTTAATCTAAATTCTATTTTATGAGTCTCTTCCATACAGAATAAAACATTGATTATCATGTTAGAAACACCATCTTAAAATACTTGAATGCCATCTCCTATAAATTATCAAGCAAATCTACAAATGGGAAAGATGATATGAAAATTTGATGTTAGATTTTCATATTAGATTAATTCCATTGACACCATTTCTAGAACTTTGTTCTTTTCAGATTATAATTATTGGTCTGGGACAGAAAACTAAATACTCAGCACAAACAAGAGAAGTGGATACTACTAATCTTGTACCTAGAAGAGATCCCTTTAGGAAAGATATGATGTGCAGAGGCAGAGCCGAATGAATGACTTGGGTTGCCATTGCCATACTGATTTTGTCACCATCCATCACTTCCCTACCCAGTAGAGCTACTTACATAGCTGGTACCACCATAGCTTATTAATTGTCTACATTCCTCTGGTGAATTTATGTTCACAATGCCTCTGTGAAAGACAGAAATAGAACTACCAACATATTACAGCTGGAAAGTAAAGTACCATAACTTTGCTAAGCCAAAAATACAAATCCAAATCTGCTGCATTGGCCTTTTTGCCATGGATCCAAAGTTCACTATAAACTGACTTGAGAACCATCCTTTTCCAGATCAAAAATTCTGTTTATTTTAAAGTAAATAACTCCCAGCAGATACCTCCTTATAATAAAGCTAGTGAAAGATAAATGTTTTCCAGAAACACAGACTCATCTCTTTCTTTGTCATGAGAACTACTTGTCTTCATTCCCTGAGCATGGACCCGTAAAGATAAGACTGTCATTCCAGAAATATTAGCACCTGTGGAAAGAAAAGCACCACTGAGTTTTAGTAAACTGTATATAGCAGGGAAAACAAAACAAAACAACAAAAAAAGCTCAGCAGAATGTGCAGAGGGATGCCAGACCAAGTCAGTCACAACTGTCTTCATGCAAAACCCATCTGGTTCCAAGGCATGGGTGCCCTGGAATGTGAAACAGTTGTGTTGGATGGTAAACAAGGTACGGGCAACTGTTTGGATAACTCTTATCAGACTCGATCTTCGTGTTCATTTTAGATAGCCAATTACTGGGGCCCCCAAACATCGCCCTTTCAGCGTGCCAGGTGGATCTGCTGCAAGCACCCTGCTCGGAAAGCAGCTGTGCAGAAGCCACGCTGACAGTGACAGCCGTGACAGACTTTGCTCAGGATGGGAACCGCATCAGCCGCATCCAAGCTGAGCCAGTTGGACGGAGGGATTTGCTTTGGAGGGCTTACACGCCAAAGGATGTGAAGGTCAGGTCCTAAAATAACTTGGAACACATGTCAAATTTAAATGGGAGGTTTGTATTGCAGAAAACAACGATAAACCTTAACCATATAAACATTTGGGGACTGCTGTCAGCAGAGTAAACCAAAACAACCTCTTTATACTCCAAGAAAATTAACATGTAAAGCCTTTCATTTCAACAAATTTAAGTTTGATGACCAGCCAGCACATCAGTAAGGCCAACAGCTGTATTATAGATGTAACCAGGTGTTCTTGTCCATGCTGGAAGAAGAGAAGGGAGAACCTGGGTTAGGCAATTAACATCTTTTCAAGAAACAGGGAGAGGGAAACCTGAGGATTTGGAGAAGAGTTTCTGAAAAAGCAGAAGGGCAGTGACTCGGTAGTGAGAAAGGAGGACCGGGACTCCACAGAGCCATTTTCGATTTGTGACTGTGCCGGGAATCACCAGGACACCTCTGATGACACATGCGGCTCCTCCACCTCTTCATCTATCCCTGTACAAAATGTCCAAAGTTAAAATAATAAGAATCAATCCGTGAGGCAAGCCATGCTTTCCCTGACTAGAAAGGAGCATGGCAAGCAGGGACTGGCCCGTTGTCTGTGAAGTCATTTCACAGACTCAGCTGGGAGGTGTGAGAGCCGTTATCCCACCATCCAAGACAATAAACCAGAACATGGATTTGACTCAGCTAAATTTCCCAGAACAGTGGCACATCCGAGCTGGTGTATTTTAAGTAACCGAAAACAAACTACCGATGCAATCTATAATCTCTTTGCCCTGATTTTTGTGGATTTGTTCACTATAGAATGAGATTAAACTGGACCAAAAGAATTTTTGTCCTCAAAGGTAAAATGCCTAGCATGTAACTATATCCTTTCCTCTCCAGCATAGGCTTTTTAAAGAACTTTTTAAGATTCTTAAATCAGAAATTGCAGCTAATTCCATGTAGTACATTAACATATTAGTATTTTTGCTTGAAGTTACAAATGCTTCCATTAAAATATGAAAACGTAGCAAGTGTGAAGTGGAATTAACCAATTTTAATAATAAATTCTATCTATCTCAGTCAAAACTTGATCTATGGTAACATAATAGACGTTACCTTCCCTCCCTCCCATTTCCTCGTTGCTGCTTTGCAGTTAATTAGAGGCATCAATGTAACACAATTCCTGCAACATATCAAGGAAAAATTCATATATTAAAATCCAGCCACATAATCTTTAGTCCTTCAGACTTGTTTAAATATCTTTGATTTATCTGAAAATTGAACAGAAATGGTGGGCAGAACATACTGACATATTCACACAGGCGATAATGTGGATTTCTTCAGAAAATGAAGACTGCCAACAACAAGGACTTGCATCCACTGCTGGTACCATGATAGAAAAAAGTAGAGCAAAAAGGGCCATGTTGATTTGTTTGTGCAAAGGTTAGGACGTTTGTGGCCGTGGAGAAAATGGGAAAATTCTGAGGCACTTCTTTGTATCACATTGTAGATACAAATGATACAATTGACCTCAGATCAAATTGTTGTTCAAAGGGGTGTTCAGTTTTTCATTCCTCAAGACCATCACTCTGATATTTTGGGATGCCAGGCACTGGTGGGTGTCTAAGCAGTGACTTTGTGTGATAGTTAAGGGGTGTTTTGAAATATAGCTGATGTATTGCTGCAGGTGAAGAATTTTGTCAGGGAGTGTGATTCTATCTTTGCCCTCCTATTCATTTATTGAATTTCACCACTGTTCCTAAAGGCTAAGTTCTGCTTTGTCACGGAAAGACCGTACAAGGATATAGTGGCCATTCTTCTTCCCCGCTCTGTGGATCATGGCAGAACTAACTGAATTGCACCTCTGGATTTCTCATGGGCAAAGAGTGAGCAAAGAATTAACAGCCCCGACCAAGGAATCAGCCTGGAAGGCTGGGTATGGGAAAACCGTAATACTTCATCACTCCCACCAGTATGACTGGGAGCTCTTCATATTGCAAATCACTACACAACTCAGTCTTGCATTTCTGAGAAGTGGATAGCAGAGGATGAAGAAACACCATCTTGGCCAGCTGTGGCAATGCCCCAGATTTGGGTATTGCAGTTTCGAAGGGAGATGCCCTACCTCTGGCTTTCACAGCCATATCTGCTCCTTGCAGAGCACCAGGGATCTCAGACCTTGTCTGTGACCCAGCTTGTGCCCAGGTAACCAAGAGCTGATGCAGCTGTTGCTATGGTAGATCCTTTCCTCTTTTATTCACGTGTGCAAAGCAGAGAGTTCCAGCAGCCTGATTTGGGCCCTCGTTGCCAGTACCCGATCAATAACTTATACATCGAATACATTAATCAGCCATTCATATGCTGTATCAGGAAATTTAAGGTCAAATTGGGGGACAAGCAGTGACTACTACTAAAATATGCTAATGCTACTTAATTACAGCTTACTTTACACCATACTTCAGGCATTAAAATTAGTACAATTTAATGAGCACTCTACTCTCTTGATAATTTCAGTGAATGATCTACTTCTTAGCAAAAAAGTTTAATAAAAAAGCTTCGTTTTTTACCAGATAAAGACAGACAGTGCATTACATCAGGTGGAACAGGAGCACTTTGAACCCCCTTATTGCATGTGATTAAACTCAGTTGTTCGAAAGCGAAGCCTATTTTGTACCAGTTCACAATCATGTTTTAGAAGTCAGATTTTAGTTGGTACTTGACACATGAATCCTGCCCCTCATGTTTTGTGAGGAACAGTAATGAAGAAAAACTGCTGTGTAGACTGTATTCATTGCACATTTCATTTTAACTAGGTCACAGTTCGAGACCTCCCAACAGGGAACTGCTACTCTTTCACTGATCCACACATTATCACATTTGATGGATGGTGAGTATTCTACTTTGAAATAATTTGGCTCAATTACTGCCGTTTTTAGTTTCTGGATATAGCATGCATTTGGTTTTACATTAGAATATCAAAAGAGCGTTGTACTAGTTTGCTCATAGTGATTAATGTAGTGCTTCAATAACATACATGGTTCCCTTCCAGCTGTTTATGCTCGTTTTGACAAAAGGACTAGAAATGGATGAATCTCAAAGCGGCAATGGTTTTGAATCTGAATAATTTTTACAAGACAAAGGTCAGATTCCAAAATGTTCTTCAAACAGAACCATCATTATTGACTTTGAGAAGATGTCTACACCACGTGGCATCGTGTCAGCGACACCTCAATTCCACCCAAATGAGCCATTATGTCCTTGTAGCAGCACAGCACACAGGGACAGCCTGGTTCTTCCTGGCAGTTTAGTGACACCTGATGAAAAGTCACTCTGCCCAAGGATACTCTTGCATTCTTCTACTTACAGAGCTGGTTTATGCACAGCTGCATCTCTGCACTGAGTTGACAGTCATAATCACAACCAAAAAACCATGAAGATGGCCGTACTGTCTCAGATAATGACAGTGACAAATATTAGAGTGCAAACATAAAGTCGTACGTCCTCCTATACTATCCAGCAAATAAGTTGCTTAAAGACTTACTGAGCCAAAGGTGGTATCTTTGTGTTTGACAACCTGTGCTGTACAAAACTTTTCTTCAGTTAACTTCCCTAATCATTCGTTAATCTATTTACCCCAGGTATTTAACGTAACAGAAAGTTTTTAAAGTTTGCATCTAGCATGTTGGATCCAAAGTTGCTCATATTTCAGATCACATTCCAGGTTTGTCATTCTGCCGTTAACCTCCTAAAGGCACAGATAATGATTTTAGGCACACAGCGTCCACAGAGGCTCAGCAGGCATGATATTCTAATTTTGATATCCTAATGTCCCAATTTCAGTCCAGTGTACTCTGGAGGCAGCATATAAAATGACATCAAAGCTGGAGAAATCTCTCGATGAAATGAGAGGAAGAAAGGCAGTGGCTCCATTAAAGGTTATACATCTGCCTCAAACAAAGACATCACCTAAATTGGGCAGTCTCAGCTAGGAGATTAGCTCTGCACATCTGGGGCTTTCCAGTTTCCCCCCTGCTTTGCTGAATACCATTTAAAATCTGGTCAGACACTTATTTCATGCGAGTTTGGTTGCTCAACTTGTAGAAGCTGTGGTAGAGTTACAAGAGGTGCAAAGACATTGCCATACCTCATGGTATCTGCAATTATTTCAACTCTGGGATATTAAACTAGATTAGAATATTATTTCAAAAGTCTCTAAACATTTGTATCCTGAATTATTCCCTTCTGATTTAGGGCTAAGAACGGACAGTGATCTGCCAGGTTGTTGTGCCATAAATTACAGAAAAGTACCTCTTGGAATGGGGGAATGCTCTCAGCTATGTAGTATATTATTACATAGCTTCCCTGGGAAAAAAGTCTAAAATTAAATAAAGCTATTTTATTTGAATAACTCATTTTGCAACCCTGTTATAGATTGCACACAGAATGCTTCTAAGCAATTCACGATTATATTTGAGCACAGGGAGTTTGGAAAAGCCCATCCTTCTGTGGCACCCTGCCTCTGAGTCGCACAGCCTTGACACAGAAAAATCTCAGGATTAGCTTGGCCCCTCGATAACTGCACATTTCTTCCCTGTGGATAGATGTTTGTCACTGCTCTGTCCACTGTAGCTTTAAAAGAGCCAAGTTGACAGGGCTTCTGCCATCTCAATAAGTAAGTTATTTCACTAAGATGTATCACTTCTTGATATTCAGCCAAGTTTCTTACCCATCATTTCACAGTCCCATTACTCCTACTTATATTCCCATTTATTATTGTAAATAATTTCTCTTTCAATTATTGTAATGATTATGCCATCCTATTACACACCAGGTAAGCAACATCTCTATCTGCCCATCCAAAATATGTTAACACAGTAGTGAATGATTTTAAAGCTCTCTATTTAAGGAGTGGGGAATGCAATCCCTGCTTCTGTCCTGATACAAACCTATAACCTAAAGGCAAAGTCCGACACAGAGGTATGGAAGTGAAGTATTTCCCCTCGGTCATGAAAGGTACATGATAGAAATTGTGTTTGAAAAGAGGGATGCATTAGGTATTCTAAATGGGAGAATTATACAAAAATCTTGTGGGCTCAAGTGGGACACCACATGAGTGTCCCTCAAGAATGAAAAAGTAGCAGAAAGAGACTGATCTGCTGATTGAAAACAGTAAAGCAAGAGAAGAGAAAAAAACTAAGAGAAACTCCTAGGGACTATGAAGCAGCAGGCTGAGATGATGAGTAGAGCATCAGCTCTTGGGCATCAGGATCTACGTCAACTATAAATGATCTGTAGAGAGAGGCTCAGATTGGAACACTACACAGGAAAGAAAAGAAACACTCAAAATTACTCAAAGAGAACGGAAGGAAATAGCAGTCTTTGCCCACATCTGTATGGCTACAAAGATGGCAGCAAACAAAGCTTAATAAACTATCAAAACCGCTTCAGAGATCAACGGCAGAGCACCCATCAAACAATGTAATCAAAGAAGGAAATCTGTTCATTTCCATCAAAAAGCCCGTCAAAATTTAATTTAGAAATACCGATTCTAGTAGTTTCTTTAGCAGAGTTGTTGGAAAATTGAACAACGCATGAAAATCAGAAGACTTGACGATGTTTCTTTTTGCTAGCAAAACTTTCCTCCCAAAATGGTCACTTCCAATGTATAGGTTGATTTCTAAGATTTCACAATACTACTTCATTTTGTAACTTCTACAGTGATATTTGCAACAATTTTTAATCTGACATGCTGAGCTCCCATTACATCTGAGGTAGTTAGCTATTCATTAGATCACTGAATACCTCACTTCTAATGATAACGCTCCCCTTTGGTATGCTTCTCGCTAATATACATCTGCAGAAATATTTATCTTGTAATCTTTTCGTTCTTTTGACCAAAGGAGGTGACTGAAAATCAAAGCAGAATGTGTCATATTTCACAGTGTAAGCACAATCAATTTGTGTATATTGGAGCATAGATGTGAACTAACGTTAATTATACTAGCTAAAACCCAGAGAGAGTACTTCCTTTTATAGCAAAGTACCTTCTAAATTAAACAAATGTGAAAGCCTGGTAAAGCAGAAGTATAGCCCTCATTACTGGTTATGGCATATTATAAATATAAAAGCTTTTCATGCCATAAATTGTAGATTCTTAAATATGAAGTACTAGCTTAAAACTAAATACGCAGAAAATCTTTTTAAGGCAAAATATTCAAAGGGAAATATTTCTTGATTGGTGAACTATATATTTCATTCATATTATTTTGCATTTTAAGTTAAAAAAAAATAGAAAATATTTTTGAGATTTCTCAAACATTTATGCTAATCTATTCATCAATATTATCCCAGGGAAAACGGCATTATTTCCTGCACAATGACAAAATCCCTCAGCTTGCACAGTTTCACACTTGTGGTGCGTTTTACTGGCATCCATCATTAGTAGCCCACAACAAAGTTCTGGGCATAAGTAGCCCTCCCAGAGGTGCTGTTCTTTTTGAAGTCTGTAGAAGTTCCTCAAGCATCCAGTGACTGCTGAACATAACCCAACAGCTTCGCTCCCCGAGAAGAGCACAGTCAGTCCCCAGTGATGAGGGCTCTGAAATCAGAGGACATCCTCCAGCATCACCCAGCACTTCCTAGGGTCACAGCTAGCACAAAATAGTTCTCACTAGCAAGGAAAGAGGGAGCCTGGAGGGACATGTCAACAAATCAAATTGTTTGGTGGCAAAACTGTGGTAGAAAAACTTTAGGAGCAGCCACAATAATAACTAAATTAATTAAAAAAATAAATAAAGAAAGAAATGTAGCTTGGTGAATAGTAAATGTATTGTGTTAGTTAATCTAGCGCTACTAGTATCAATTGTTTATCTATATTTATATTCCCTTCTGTCCTTCTCTTATCATAAATCAACAGAAATGATTCCTATATCATCTCACTATCATAAACAAATACTTAGGAGCATTTTGTAATTCCTGGATTAAGCACACAACTTGAGCCATGACTTCATGTTAGAAAAAGAACTTGATGCACCTCTTGAAAAACAACCCTGACACATGGATGGGGAGGAAGAGATCCACTTTCCACTCTGTACATCCATTGCTACAGACTACTGGGGCAGCAGGATGGGGAAGTGCACCGTGGAGGGCAATTCAGACACCGGCAGCGGTGCCTGGTTCATGAAAGAGGCTCAGAGCTGCCTCACGCAAGAGCTCCAGTAATGCTACTTCATGGTGTTAGCGCCACAAGCAATTTCTCAAATGTCCAAAGAATAATTATCACAATTACAGCTGTATAAACATCACAAAAGTTTACCTGACTACATTAAATTATCTATTCAAGTAATTCAAAGGCAGTTGAAAGCTTCAATTTAGACAAGTTGCAGATTTGTTATGTGCTTACCCAATCTGTGCCGTGACTTAATTGAAGGACTCTAAGTGACTTCCAGGAGAGTTGGATTGAGTCCACTGTCCATGCTTATTAAGCAGTAAATAGTGCCCATAACTGCAACGACATGTACGTGCATATGCTAATACAGTCTTATTTACCAGATTCAGCTGATTAATCAGGATACAGCCATTCGGATGCAGTATTTTCCATCAAGCTCTCTAAACACCTTCCCTTCTAAGGTCCTCCTGTTGAAGGAAATTGTGGAAGGTGATTCTCATAAAATATCCTGTCTCCTCTGTCTCTCCTGTGAAGATGTCCAAATGGAGCTAATACTTGATGTTAAAAGAGATTATCTATTTTTCATGTTGTCCTTAGTTCTAATCAATCTTAGCAACGGCATCTGCGCAGTGTACTCAGGATTTATGTATCTGATTAGAAAATAAGATGAGACACAGCCATTCAAAATCTTATCGTTTTATAGCCAACTTTACTAGGTTTTTCAAGATGAAAGATAAAGTCAAATGTGTTTTCTAGCAGAAAAACCAACTGGAGTTTAAATTCTTCCTGTGTTTCAAGCTACATAGATTTCTAGGGCTTTTATTCTAAAGAGAAACAAAACGCAGATACATGCTAAAAAATCTTGGTTCTTTAGCCATTTGTTGCTCTGTATAGAAAACAATAACAGACTAAAAAAATATTGATGTTTGTATAACAGTGCTTAAAAATAATCCTGTTATTTAGTTGTTTTATACATTCCTTTTTATATTTTCTTTTTTATTGTAGAAAATAATAATGCTGATTATTATAAGCTTATAGCTTAGTTTCCATTCTACTTAATTGTCCAAAAATCGTGTTTAAAACTAAATGTAGTGCCTTAAAAAGAAGTAGAATAATCCTTTGTCTTTAAAGATGGCAGCTGTTGGCTTGTGAGGAGAAAACTGCAGCAACATATATAAAGTATAGAGCTACTGTTTTCTTTGCTTTTATACATCATGTTAGAACGAAATAGAGTAAGAATGGGACAAGCTTATGGATTGAGAAAACACAGAACATGCAGAGGAGGATCCTCTCGTAGGTCTCTGCTGTGGAAACCCAAGGGGCTGCAGTCGGGAGGAGTTTTACCCGGCTTGTGCAGAGGGGAAACACCTGCAAAATTATTCAAGTTGTTCTGCTCATGGCCTCACTCGGATGGAGCAAAGACTTGTTGTATGGAGAAGAACGTGAGTCCCAAATTGTTCAACACGCTGCACTGTGCTGATTCCCAGCTCGTTTAGAGCCAAAGTTACTCTGACAGGGAAGGTGTTGAAGAAGGGAACCAACTTCATTTTAGCAGATTTTCAGTAGAATCCCAGTTTTTCTCATGGAGTACTCAGCTAGATGCAGTCGGTCTTGTAAAAGTTAGTGATTAGCCACAGAAGAGGTTATTTGAGCACTGGTTTTGCTTTGAAGAACACCACGCTGTAAAGCATCCGGTTAGAACCAAAACATATTTATTAAGGCCTGGAGGCAGGGACTTTTTCCCATTTGCTTTTTATCAAATGTTTATCCTTTTTATCCATGCCCGTTGCCATAGCAGCAGCTGGGCGACAGCTCCCCGCTTTTCACAGGAATTCTTATGCGCTTCCAGCTAATAACTGCGACGGCCTTCCCTTGCTTATGGTGCCGAAGAGACACTTCCCCTCGTGTTGATTCTTCCACGCTGGCCTAATTAAGGCTCCCCGTTGTACGATATCAACGAAGAGCCCTCACAGGTGGATGCTCCGGGCCTCTAAAACCTCTTTTTTCCATTTGTCGTTGTTCAGGCGCTACGATAACTCTAAAATCGGCACCTTCCTTTTGTGCCGGAGCGCGGCGCGGGCGTTCGAAGTGCACGTTCGGCAGTGGGACTGCGGCGGGCACC